TAATTTTCAAATTCCAAGTAAGCTTTATGTGGTGTTTTATTTGTTTACAGATTTTATTGACTAGTCGGCTTTATTCTTCCCCTTCTCTCTCTCCCTCCCTTCCTTCCTCATTGAAGAACCATTTGTTGGCTTTTTTAAAATTTATTATTCTTATAACACACTGGGAAATGCCTTTATTTCTAGGCTTTGTTTTCAATATATTGTACCATAAAAAAGGAATGCTAAGGATAGTACCATTCTTAATTAAAATTTAAATCAACTTTAAGCTGAAAATAAGATCTATTTGTAATAGTACTATTAGTATGTAATTTCTTTTTTTCCTGGAAGTGAAGAGTAGCATAAGTAACTCAATAATTGTGAAGCCAGTTGACCCAAATTCTTTGTATTATAAAATACATTTTAACTTTGCGAAAATTCATAAAATATTAACATTCAAAAGGAGTCAGTTGACGATGAGATTTTCCTATGTAAGATACCTTTCATGAAACGCCTGTTGGCCGGTATCCCATGATTACATCTTGGGCAATAGTGCCATCTGCTGTGCTCAGCGAAGTATTGCTTCTGTTAGAGGACCAGTTTGTGTTTGTAATCTACAAATATATGTACAGACTGAAATTTTGTCTTTCTAAATAAAAAGTTTATATTGGACCTTGTCTTTATTTGCTATTTTAAATTTGTGTACCATTTGATAATATCTTAAAAGAAAATTCTATAAATTTTGTGTCATGAGAAATTGATTATACAGTATATCTTGGAGCAGGTGAGCCTAATTTTTATAATATAACATCCACAATAACAAAATATTTGATTTTAATTTTTATCACAAAAGTAACAAACTGATTTTCTCATGCAGTGAGTTAGCATTGATTTTTTTTTAGTCTGTAATGACAGCTTTCTGACTTCATTATTTTTTATTCCACTATGAACTCAGTATCCTTTCTGACATCTTACAACCAATGGAAATCACTTTATTTCCAACCTATAAAAAGCACTGTATTTGTTTGTTTAAAGCATCAAATTACTAATAAATATGTTTTGTTTGTGTTTATTATGGTACTGTTAATTCTGATTTTTCCAGTAACTTTGTCACTTGTCTTTATTTTTACCTCATTGCTGATAAATACAAGATATTTTATATGCTAGGCATTCATACCGATAACTGTTGAAATTCACATTTTTCCCAGTCTTAAAATTCATACAGAACTTTTAAATGATGTAGTATAATAAGAATTTAAAACAATTTACTATTATATTGTTGATGTTTTTTATTGTTTCTCAAAGTGGCAGGGTTATACTTAAGACATACATTTGTGGACATTGATATTAGAATTTTGAGTATGAAGCAATTTAAAGTAATTTTTATGCCTGTTGTTTTCATACAGTATTGAGTGCAACCATTTCTAAGGCTGAAGATGTAAATCTCCCATGAAAATTTCAGATTCAAAATATCACTTTCTTTCTTTTTAAATAGCACACTCTTTAATTTAAATATCACCTATAAAATGGTCCCCGTATTGAAAAGTAAAACCTATGTCATTTTATTTTCATTTTGAAAGTCAGGCAGATTGGCTCTTCCCTGTCTACCTAGTCGTTTTGTTAGTCCTGAGGTGATCTTTAAAGAAACACAGAGATAGTGTTATCTCTAATCATTCTTCTTCCTTCCTTTATTTCTCTAATGCTGTTTTGTTATGCACACTGACCCTTTAGTCTGCTTTTTTGTTACATTCTTATTTGTGTTAGGAGCTGGTTATATGTCTGTATTTAAAGCTATGAACATTATAAGCTTTAGACATCAAGTACAGTTTGTGACCTCACTTCTGAAGTTTACTACTAATGATGTGCTTGGTAAATCCAAATGAAAGAATATGTTAGAGAAAAATATCCAAAGAGTCAAACAGTTGACACTATGAGATATCATCCTGAAATCAGAATATTGTCTTCTGGTTGGGAATTAATGAATGTGAAATAATCCTAGTGAAACTAATTACGACCCATACAACCAAGAGTGTCTTCATATTGGCAGATGAAAGTTGGATCATGTGTAATGGCATAATTTTTCTCTGCTTTGTTAACACTGCTATACATGTAACTAATAAAAATATTATCCACTGGTATATGATGTATTAATAATAATAAATTAGCAGAGCAAAGAATCTTCTCTCACATGCTTAGTCAGTATACATTTTGTGATTGATATCCACAGTAACTTTGATTTAAAGCATGTGGAAGGTATTTGCCCCTCCCTGATACTCTGACTGCTTGTTTTATGTAGGAAACTTTATTCCTCCAAAGAGGGGAGTTTGAGCTGTAGTGACTGTTACTTCCAAACATTTCGTGGTTGATTTCAGGAGAAAAGATTTGTTAAAGCTGTAAAGAAAACATCTACAGACTTACTATCTTTCTGTTAAGTAAACAGAAGCTTGCATAATACTATAACATCATAATATATTACTGGCTAAAAGTGGAGACAAAATCTTTCATAAAATGTTGATTTTTTATTGAGCTCATGAACCAAATTTCTCTTTATACTCTATAATATGTAACCTTTTCAAATTAAATATGCTGGGATATAAAAATTACTTTAATGCAAATAACTCCACTTTACTGTCAAGCCATTTGTTGCACTTATTTTTTAAAAGTAAATCCAGCTATTATCCATTAAGTATAAAAGCCCAACGTTTTTTAAATGTGTTATCTGAATGTGTATAGTGACTGTATTTCATATTCATCTATGTATTTATAGTAGCATAGAGTAAGAGTTTAAATAGCAAGGGTATAAACCATAATGTTGTATTTTTCCTGCCCAGCTATTATGTGAAAGAAAATATAAAAATAGGAAATGACATGTGAATATGATGATTTATTAAAGCACTAATTGTAAAAGGAAAAGGGTGGAAACAAATGACCACTAATAGGGCATTGGTGGGGGAAACTATCCTCAAACTGTAAGTAGATTATTCTATAATTATGAAATAGAATGAAGTAGAATAGTGCAGAAGTTTTGTGCTGCTATGGAGCGATAGCAAAGATATTGTTAAGTAAAAGAAGTAATATAGATAGTAATGTGTATATGCCAAATTTGTGTAAGAAAGGATATTTATACTTACATTTTCAGAAATAAGGATAAAAACAAAAACCTAATAAAAAATGATTACGTGTGCATTAGGAGAGAACTAGGGGCATGGGATAGAAGAGGTCCAGAAAGAAATTTTATTCAACATATTAACAGTAATACTTGTTTTTTTATTCTGAAACCAATACATGGTCAACTCACGTATTAGGAAAAATAAGTACCTTTGATCATATTGTTAAGGCCCAAGATTTCGAGTATGAGAAGAGTTATACAAATACAAAACCAAAGACTTCAGCTAAAAATCCTATAATCTTTAATTTGGTTGGTAATAGCAGTATGAACTCGTATTTCTTCTTCTAAAAATAGTCTTCCCTATCCCATCCACTGAAAAGACTGAGAAGTGATGACAATCCAGTAACAATGAGCACCCTAGTGCACAGGTTATTGTCAGTAAATATCATTCCCCACTAAAAGGAGTTTGAGCTCTTTGGACTAATTTCAGGCCTGGGTCAGGAACTGTACAAGATGAACCTGGAACATCTTGTCACACCCTACTAGTAGGGAACATAAAAGATGCAGAAGCCAACTTGAAGAGACTTCCACTGTCCAAAGGGAGAAGAATTTGAGCATGAAAATACGAAAATGACTAGCATGAACTGAAATACATTAAATATATAAATATGTATTAACTCATAATTATGAACTTTGAACCAAAATTGACAAAGAGAAAGAATTAAAGCATATTTATTCTGCCTTTCCAATGCAGACTCTATTTCGTAGTCACCAAATATTAGAGAAGGGAAGGTCTTCATTATAGAGGAAACAGAGCTACTAAATGCAGAAGAAAATAGAACAGAAAATCACCATTTTGCAACCTCTGTTTAAATAATGGGCCCAAGCATCAAATATTAATGTCTGCTAAGCCATTGAATGAAAGATCAAAAACTTTCATCAGAAGGGTCGTGTTGTCATCCTCTGTGCCCCATCAGGCAATCTTAACATGACTTTGTATAGGCACAGCACATCCTGATGGATGGAGTGGGGATGACACACACCATCTGTAATGTGCTGTTGACCCAAGGAAATTGAAGCTGAATCTTATCAAGCCTCTAGACCTAAATACTGCTCTACACAAAATATGAGGGATAGAGGAACATGTTAAATGACACCCTGAGAATAAAATTATACAAATCCAGAATGTAGAAGAGCTTAAGGGATAAATGATTCATTTTCTTTAATAAATAGCAATGAAAGGGAGTGTCAGTGGACTTTATAAGTCATTAAAAGAGATTTAAGATACTTATTAAGTGCAATGTGTAGACCTTGTTTGATCTTTTTTCAGACAAATAAATTATAAAAAGACTTTTTTTTTGACAATCAGTGAAAATTAAGTATGGACCACATAAGATGATAATAAGGAATTATTGGTAGTATATTTATATGTGAAAATGGTATTATAATTACATTGTGGGGTTTTTTTTTCTTAAGCTCTTAGATGTCTGCTAAAATATTTTAAGGGTAACAAGTTGTTACTTGTGGGATTTTTAAACACTTAACATCAACTCAAAAAATTGAAGTGGAGATGGCTAGATTAAATAAGAATAACAAAGTTAATGATTGTAGAAGCTGAATGATGGTACAGATGGATTCATTGTGCGCTTATTCCTTTTATATGTATTTCCATAATTTTTTTTACTGTTAAAGTCCTCCCACCAGATTAGCCCAGATTAGCTTGGATCATTAAGCACTGCCTTCCTAGCAATGTTTTAGATTTAGTTGAAAATTTTCTTGTTATAACTTAACTGTAAATTCTTTACATCCAGTAAAATTTCATAAATTGTAAAATTACTTCATCAAAAGAAAGTTGCCAAAATAGTGTTAACAAGCTCACCTGCCAAATACACTGACTTTATATCCTCCTTTTTAGACCAAACCACCCTGGTAGAACAAGTAAAAAGAGTAAAAGAAATTGAAGCCATTGAAAGTGATTCTTTTGTTCAGCAGACATTCAGATCAAGTAAGGAAGTCAAAAAGGTAAGTTTTCACCCAGGCATTATGAATAAGCTTTTTCAATCCAACTTAAGAGCTGCTTTATTAACAGATTTTACTTAAATGTGTTTCTTCTAATAGATAAAGTAGGATGAAAGAATGTCAGCATGTTATTGGAAGAGAAAATGAATCCATGAGAATCAGCTCAAGTTTAACTTGTAAAACATACACTGTAAAAATGTATCCGGTGCCATTTTTATTTTAAAATTCCCCGAGAAAACAAAGTAAAATGTCAATGCAGCAGTTCTTTAATAGGAATATCCATTTCATGAACATATACAATTTTCTTTTCAAATGTACACATCTACTTTTTGAGTTGACACAGCTAAAAAAAAAAAAAAGTTAGAAAAAGGATTTAAAAATAAAATTATTACCCACATGTAACATATATCTACACTCTGCTCAGATGAATATCATTTATTCAACTCTAGATAAAGGCTCTTTGATTGACATTTTATTTCTGTTGAATATTTGATATATTCTTTCAGTCATTGTCAGGGCTGCTTTTAGGAATTTATGTCTTTTAGTAGAAAAAGGCATTCTGCTATGAAATACCTGTAATCTTTAACAACATACATATAACAAAGACATGGAATAGTTATTACTTACCTGAAAATATTCTGTCTGTTAATATACTAAATGACTCTGTCTTTTTCCCCCAATACTAGTTACTTAAATAGTGTAAGTTTGGAGGCATTACATAGATATTTGCAAACGTCCATTGTTATCACCTTAAGATAGATTTTTCTAGCTGGAATTATTTGTTATAGGTTAATATTGTTTATTTTCACACATGTTCCCAACATCTGTTTATCCAGAAATCTTGTACCCATTCAAATTCCACTCAGAAGTAGAGGACATGTCTGCACCCTACACCCTGGAAAACGCCAAATGAAACTCACCTTTTGCTTTTCCATTAGCATTTCTTTTGTTATTAGTGAGGCGAACATCTTTCAGTTACATCCTTTTTTTTAAAGTTGTGTTAATCGAGGTAATGTTGATCTGTAACACTGTATTAGGGGTACAGATTCACACCTCTACAAATGTATGTTATCACATCATGCCCACCACCTAAGCCCCACTGCAATCATATGTTTTTTTAAAGAACTCGTTAGGGAGACTTGACTTGAGCCTGTTCTGCAATGCCAGCACTCCGATAGCCTTGGGTAGTTCAGAGTTGATTTCATTTTTAACTTTTGTAGTTTACCTCAACTCCTAAAAACTGGATTTATGGAATGAACATTCATAAATATAGTTGCCCATTTTATTTAATCTTACTCCTATAAAAAGATCATTCCTATATCCTAACAGAATTGTAATCTATTTTAAAATTTACTTTTCTAGTGTTAGTTTTATGAAGTTTACCCTGACTTTTCTCATTGAGCTTTAAAATGAACTACTATTTTTTTTCCCTATGGGAATAATTATTCCTCTATAGTTAATACATTGGGTTTTCTTCTAAGCAGCTTTTCCTTGTTTGATACTAATTATTAATGTAATAAACTTACTTTTAATTTAATTCTTCTCTAAGATATTGGCAGGTCTTCCAATAGTGAAATTGACCATGCACAAGGAAATTAATCAAAAGTCTACTTGATATCGTGAAAAGAGCATGGACTTTGTACTCACAGAGATCTGAGTTTGAATCCTGACTCCCACACTACCTGCTGTGATTTATGACCTTGATGTCTCAAACTCTTTGGAGCTCAGTTTCTCAGTTCATAAAATAGAGCTGCTAATACCTACTTTTTAGAGTTGGTGAGGATTAAATAAAATGATTTATCATATCTAGGCATGGTTCATGATCTAATAAATACTTGTTTTTAAATAACATATTCTAGCATCTACGCTATTTGATATCCAAGTTCAAGCATAGTGTTTGAAAACTTCTACTCTAAGTACTCCACCTGTGTCAAGTATAAACACCTTACCCCATTTACATTTTTCTATTATTCCCATGTCTTCTCGCTCACCAGTCGCTCACCAATCAGTTTCTTCTTGCTGAGAAACACATAAATTCCTTGAACACCTGATTTTGCGTTACGTCTTTTGAAATGCATAAATGGAATAATATCTATATATTTGAATTCCAAGATTAAAAATGTTTTGCCTCATTGTGTTTCCTAGAAGTTCCTGTTTTTCAAGATTTATTTTATTTATTTATGCATACAAGAACTGGGGTATATATAGGCCAGAGTTGCGGGTGTAAGAGGATTCACCAGAGACAGAGTAGGGAGCAGAACAGGCAGAATGACTGAAATATACTGCTGAGGGGAGCAGCAGACAAGATAGGAGAGGTCTGCTGCGCCATGTGGGTTAGCTCCCTGGCCAGGGATTTAGTGACTTGATAGCGCTGAGACTTTAACCCCCTACACCAGCAGGGAGGCCCTTTCCTAGAAGTTCTTGAAGGTTATATACCTGTAGGTTATTAATCTTAAGATAACTAACTAAATCCAAGAGAAATCCTTTTCTAAAACTATAGCAAAACCATGTATCATTAAATGGCTTCCCCTAGGACCAATATAAAGGAATTTCACTTGTATCTCTGATCAAAGGTACCACCATTATTAATTATTTTAATTATTTGTTTCTTTTGCTCTAGTTTTTAACTAATTGGCATTTAGTCACACTTTCAATATAGCATTTCTTGAGCTCCAACTCAGATGCCAGCTCTAGGTACTAAGAGGTCTAAGATGGAACCTTACTAATCTGTGTGAAAAAAATCCATCTCCTGTTGCCATTATCATTTAAAAGAAATTTCTCTTGACCTGTTTTTACTCTTTATGCACCTATAGAAATAGAATGGATTCTGGAAAGCCTAGAACTGGCTAGGTCTGTGTTGAATAAGCATGGCAGAAATGCAAAAGCAGCCTAGAAATAGTAGTACTGTGAGTTAAGCCATTAAAAAATGTGTTTATTTAATATATTTTATCAACATTTTTCTTTCCTCTAAAGCCAAAGCCAAATTGTAATGAATCTTGGCTTTAGTGTTTGGGCAGCAGTGATCAAAAGCTTAAAATGTAGAGTCAGACAGACTTGGAACCATATTCTGATTTGGCCATTAATTGGCCATCTGCCCTTAAACTGTATCACCTCATTAAACCTTAACTCATTTTTCTTAAAATGGGGATAATACTTCTGGCAGAGATTTTTATAAGAATGAACAAGATACTTTACATAAAACAGTCAGCCAAGTACATAGTAAATACTCAAGAAATGAAAACTGTTACTCCTTTTCCTCCTCCTCCACCACTTCTTCTGTGACCTAATACTCAGGGCTTCCTTAAGAAAAATTGCACAACAAGGATTCTCACTTTGGCTGGGCCAGGAATTGTTTCATGTTATTTTGTAAGTTCTATAGAACCTAAAATTCTCCTCATTTGAGAGGAGAGTTTGATGACCTAGCTTATTACTGCGTAAAGAGATAAAAATTACCTTATAGCTTTATTCATGTTTAGATATTACCTTTGGACCAGATTTTTTCAACACAGCCATTTGGAAACATTAAGCACTAAGCAAATGCTGTAAAACAATATTGTATCCTACCCCCACTTTTAAAAAATATTTTAATAACTAAAATAATGATTTCCATTAATACTAGACATTTAATAATATAATTTATTTAATATCCCAGGCATTCTGTGACTAACTAAGGAAGCTAAGACTCAGCAAATTTTATAATCCATGGTCAAACTACTAGGAAATTACAAGAAGCAGCATCCAAATTTATCCAGCTTCAAGCCCATGTTTTTCCTGCTAATCTAATGCCTCTCATAATTGTAAACTCAATGCATATTCTCTGCTAAAGTATAAAAGAAACATGCACTGGAAGGCAAGAAGTAGCACCAACAGAGAAGCATGCTATAAAAAATAAATAAACCCATCGAATGGCCTTTACCTGGCTCAGTATACAATAGTCCAAAGTTCCAAACATCAAACATTGGACTTTTACTGCACTTGAAAATGATCAGAAGAGGAGCTGCTTTTAAAAAATGAATACATGCGCACTCAACTGTAATAAAAAGTGGAGGACGAATTTATTAGTTTAGAAAGTGGTATCCCTTTCCAGTCTCTAAAATGACTGTGTCTGCAATATAAGGTAGGGACTCGGGATGCCCAGGAAGCTGAATTATTTATCAGGAGATTACTTAGCAAAGGGAGGTAAATTATCTTGAGGACCATTTTACCCAGATCATGGGAGACATGATGGGCTACCCCTGGAGACGTAACGAAGGCTAATCTCTCGAGGATTAAATAACCCATGTCCCAAGTATCAATGTCTTGCTCTTCTGGACAGTTCTGTGCACATTTGACATGAAGTTTGTATCTTGGCAAAAGGCTTTTCTATGCTAACCACCCTTTTAGTTAATAGTCTTTCCTTACCTGTGTTAATTCCACTAATTAAGCAAGGGAGATGTTACCAGGAAAGTGGCTATTACCAGTGACATGCTAGACATTGTGTCTCCTGCAACACATATTGATTTAACTGTTTTAACTCTCTGCAATCATATTTCTCTTTTGTGTAAGTAGATAGAGAATCTGATAGTTCCTGCTGTATCATCGACCTCAGGGAACCAAATTGCTGCTTGTTTCCAAACTGTTCTCTAAATAAACTCACCACCAATAATTCAACCCTGAAATTGCTGGATCTGCCAGATACTAGCCTGCTTCAAAAAAAGGATAAATAACACTAAACATTATGATTTTTTATTTTAACTTGGAAGTACATTTTGAAACAAGTGTTTTCAAATTGAACCACCAGGTGGCAGCGCTACTCAAAACCAAAATACCTGACTCTTGACTGTGATGGGATTTTAAGTGACGTTTTCTGACAGTTTCCCTCACTTAAGGAAAGAAATGATCGATGGTTCGCATACATTTTAAAATTACTCATTATTAAATAATGATCCCAACATTTGGATTGTACATGCGCAGGTGGCAGAGAGAACATTCTGTTATAAAATGAAGTAATGTCACCGTTTTTACCTACATAGTCCAATACATTAAAGTTTTCTTTGAGAAGTGCTTATACACAAATAATGTAAAGTTCTCAGAGGTTAGTATCAAAGTTATTATCATCAAATGGAAAAAATTTTAATTGTTCTCAGATCCAAAAATATAACCTACCAAATCATGCCATATAGAAATGTCCTACTTAAAGGTAGTATATGAAATATATATTTGTTCAATGGTATATACACATAAGTACTATTTTTGTAAGAAAAATATGTTGAGCATAAGAAAGAAAGCATTTTCCCAATGTTTTTGTAGTTGCTTGCTTGTCTTAGGCATAATTATTTCTTATTCAGTACCCTAGGGCCTTTTTGAAATTACTATCATCTCAAAGGAGACTACTTGACCAATTACTATTCAAAATCATAAATATTATTAAATTGAACCCCCTCTTGTATACTGTGATCCGATTAATGATGTGTGTTGTATATTTCAGGCGGTGGAACCTGATGAAGTGAAGTATGCAACTACGGTATCAGGACCAGCATCAGTAGTCAGTGATCCACCCAGCAGTGAAAAAGAAATTGACCCTGACAGCATCCCTACTGCTATCAAATACCAAGATGACAATTCTCTGGCCCATCCAAATGTAAGGACCTTAAACCTTTAGAATGACAAGTGAAGTTTAATTGACTGAAATTAATTCACATGGTTTCTTTTCATACTGGTGACAAGAAAACCAGAGGAAGAAATAAATTCATGTGCTCCTGTTTGCTAAAAATAGGCAGCTGGCCTCCAGCCCTTAGAGTTGTGTTTGAATCTGATGTAGCGCAACTCGTGTTGCCTAAAGTAATTATCAGAGTATTCTATGTTCTAGAAGTATTGTTTCTTTAGTTAAGAAAAATAAGCAAAGAGAAAACTTGTAGTTTTTTAAAACCTGGCACTAAAATATTTAATTCTGACTCCTCTCTGGTTTGGTCATTGACTAGTTAGGATGTCACTAATATCATATTTTGCTCTCAACTGTAATATGACTTTATTTTACCATGTCACTCAGAAAAATTATAGGAAATTTCTTTACAAATATATGGTGTAAAATTGTTAACCAGTGGTATTGATGTTAGTCCTTTTACTCTGAGACTTTCTGAACATTGTTAATTCCAAGTAGATGGTCTTTAAGAAGTCAGTAAGAGTTAAACAGTATCCAAATCTTGTGCTGAAAATTAAATAAAGGTGATTTGTATCATGTAAGGTTATATTCAAGTCATTGGCAGACAATAACATTTTTTTCTTTTTTTTAATTTCAGTTATTTATTGATAAAGCTGATGCTGAAGAAAAGTGGTTTAAGAGATTGATTGCTCTCCGACAAGAAAGGCTAATGGGCAGTCCTGTGGCTTAAGTAACTCACCTATACCTGAACTAACACAACTTTGGAAATTTAACTTTTTTAATTCCCCCAGTATTAACTTTTCACTATTAAAAAGAATTTAGTTGATTAAATAAAAAGCTAATCTCATTTCATTCTTTACTCATGTAGGCTTGTATGTTTGTTGATTTGAACTTAAACATTGTGCATATTAAAACTAGTGTGTAAAATTAAGGATGCATAAAAATTATTGTTAATAAAGTTTATCCTAAAAATATCAATGTTAAAATAAATGGTACACTGGTGGTGTTTCTGAGTACAATTTGAAAAATGTCAAGTTATTGAAGACATGATTTGGATTAATCACACATATATAAGAATCAAACTTTATGCTATAAGATTTCATCATCCAGGTGTTGTAAAACCATTTTTGATTCTTTTATCACACCTTACTGTAAACTTTCAGCATAGTGAAACTCACTCTGAACAACCTAAGAGAACAAGCATGTTAGTCTTAAAAGAATAGCACATTTACTGAAAAAATTCCTGAAAACTATGAAACTTGATGACTTATTACTTAGAGATCAGCTTTTACGAGGTGCTTCTTTGAAACATGTTAGCAGAGGCCCGCACATTCTTTTAGAAATCACGTGTCCATGTGAAACCTAACCAGTTGTCCAAATACCCATGATAGGGAAATCATATCTGAGAAAACTTGTAAGAGCTTCCCCTTCAGTCTCACTTAACCAGTGCCTTTCCCTAGAGAGGCCAGCTCCTTGTGACTTTGATAAGGCTGTCATTGTAAAATACCTTTCTCTGGGAGCTGATTGAAAATCAGCTATGCATTCCATATTGAACATGCCAGAGATAAGGACCTTTAAGCCTTGCTTCACAAAACTAGTTTTCAACAGCTGACATTTCCAATTTCTAATTTGTCCTCCTCTCTGCGCTCTCTCTAATTTAGTCTTTATGAAGATAAGCATGAAAATTTCTTACGATTACCAATACATAGAACACTTTAATGCCATCTATTTTATATCTGAAACAACTAAAATTCTAATCCCTGTTAAAAATGGAAAATACAGAGCTTATATTCAATTGCAAAAAGTGTGGAAAATAGACCAAGGGCAAAATACTTGTTTTCACATTCTCGGTAGATGCTAGTGTTCTTTCTTCCTTAACTGTAACTAAAAGTGACCAGTAGGAACTCACATTTGTGTGGGTTTATATAGATACATAAAATTTTTAGTCACTAAAATTTTACAGGGGTATTGCAGTTTCTGAAGAATTTATATTTCATTATTTACATAACTTGTACTGTAAAAGCTAACACCCTCTTGGAAAGTATATTTTAGTGACTAAGCAAGAATCTGGTTTGTCTTTGGGCCACTAGTAATTCTGCAGAGAACTTGAGCTATTCCTTTTTCCTCAGCATGCTTGATGTTCCTTGTCTAGGAAATGTTCTGATCTACTTCACTATGCTTAACACCAGTGTTTCTCTGTGGCAGGTAGCCCAAATGTAGAAAGAATCTCGAAGTGCAATAGATTTGTACTTTAAAACTGTATCTTTCCTGCAAATAAAGAATAAAGTTACTTTTGAATTAACTAAACTTTAGTCCCTGCAGGAATTCAATAATTATTTCCCTCCTCCCTGATTTCCAACATGATTCTTTGTAATATATCATTAACTTCATTTACCTGCATTCCTATTGAAGACGACAGTATTACCACAGAAGCCAAATCAACTTTAATGAGAGAGACTTCATAGAACACTATCAAACATATCACCAAACTCAAGCGAGATGATGCACCCTGGCCTTCTGTAATACTCCAGTATAATGAGTCTGTAAAACAGGACAGTCCCTTTAATGTCGCTAAGTTAATGGGACCTCAAAGTGTTTTGTGAAACATTGATTTCTTACAAAAGGATGAGTAATAATAATACAAGTTGAGTTTTCATTTCAGAATTGAGTACATTCTCAATGAAAATAGAAAAAAACTTTTTTTTTTCCGGCATTCCTGAAGTAAGAAGAAGCAGATACCTAAGGATGAGGACAGAATACTGAATCACTCACCTACTTCTCAGCATCCTTACGTGTAAAATGAGGCAACTAAGTAGATATAACTACTTTAATTATTCAGCAAAATAAAAGAGAAAGAATATATTTATACCAAGATAATATTTTCACACAATAGCCATCTTAATGGACTGTACAACAGAGGTGCATGTTCAATGATTTGAGAAGCTACACCCTATACCTCCTGTGTGCCTCTCTGTGTGTGATTGGTCGCTATGACCAAAAACCTCATCCTCTCTGACCCCTCTCCCTGCCAAGAGCATAACAAATCCTGCCAGCCACTTACTTGAGGATTCTCAAGTCTTCAGTCAAATTTACCCACTTTATTCATTAACATTTTTGAATACCTAGTTTGTGCTATTTGCAGTAAAGACAGTTTGGGTACATACAGGTGAATCCAGTGGGGGAATCTGCCCTCAATAAGCTTAATTATGAAGCCCAGACATGTATATGATATAGGAGATAAAGCAGTCTTTAGTGGTACCACTTGGAGGACTTGGTTGCAAAGAAGAGATATATTATTCCAAGTTAGAAAAGCAAGGGAAACTTTATGGAAGAAATCACCACTGAATTAAGGCTTGAAGAATAAGAGTGCTCCTGAAGCTACAGGATCTTACAGTTACCCCCTCCTTCCTCCTGGCTGTTCTAGAAGGCCAGAAACTGTTGCAATTCTTACCCTCTCATGAAAAACCCAAGTGGCCTTGCCCTCTCAATCTTATCAAAAATCCAGGCAAGTTTGATTCCTGGTAACCCTCTGCCTTTCTCTAACCATTTCTTCCTATTGTTGGAAAATACGCCAAATAAAGCCTTCCTTTGACCACTAGCATCCATAGTCTTGTGTCACCACTGCTTGTCAGCCTGGGGGACCTGAGTGAAGACGTGCAATGGTAGTGAAGAGACTTTCAGTCCCTCTAAGAAAGAACCACATCTGCCATTGAAGCCTTGCACAGCTGTGTGGACCCTGGTATGTTCCCTGGTATGGGGTGTTCCCTGGTACACTTTGTTTTTCCACTCTGTATCTTTTGAAAGTACTGTTTTAGAACTAAAAGGCACAGTTCACTGGTTTGTGATTAGATCCCTTACCAAATTTTCCTTTAGTTTGGGCATCCAGTGACAATCTTTTAGTCAGCAAATAAAATTATAACAATGAAATGAAGCAAGATATGATTCATTTTGGGTCACAAAGTTATGGAGGAATTGATACAGAATTCTTGTGCCCATGTCTCTCTTTATTTCCCTGCTGTCCCTATCCCACAACACCTTGTAAATTTTAGAGAAGAGATTTAAAACCAACTCTTGCCATTGCTCATTGAAATAGTGCTTGAATTATTAAGAAAATGTTTAAATGCCATCCTTTAAATGTAAGTCTTGCATTTTGGGATTCCTTTATGGGTTAATGGAAAAGCAAGTCATCTTGCTAAGAAAACAGCTGAGTCTTTACAGCAGCAAATGTAAATGGCAGTAAGACAGAATACTTTGTAAATTTTCTAACCACCTTCATCTTTATCATAGGGATAGACCTTGACCAATGAATACATATTCCAATTTACTTACTGGATTTTTCTAAATCAAAGTAAGTGGTCTCCATTTTATTTCCAAGTTATTCTTGCTGTTATTGTATCCCCAGAATCTAACCCAGGACTGACACAAGGCTCAATACATATTTTGCAATGAATAAAAAATGAATTTGCCCATCTCAAATGGTAGTGTGGTAGTTTAAATTACTGAAGCTTTTTGCTTGAGTACTTGTGTATAATGCATAGTATTTGTGAAATGAATAGATGCCTGGATATATACCCAAAATCAAAAGCAGGGTCTCAGATATCTGTATACCTATGTCCATAGAGCATTAGTCACAATAGCTAATATGTGGCAGTAACCCAGGTGTCCATGGGTGGATGAAGAGATAAGTCAAATGTCTACCTGCATACAATGAGATACTGCTTAGCATTCAAAAAGAACATGCTGCAACATTGGACGAAACTTTAGTGTTATGCTAAATGAAATAATCCAATCATACCTAGTAAAGGATAAATATGATTCCACTTATATTAGGTGCTTAGAATCATATATACAGAAAGTACAGTGAAGGTTGCCAGGGACTAGCGGAGGGGAAATGGGTGTGATCCCCTAGAGTAAGGGCCCATCTCACAAGATGAAAAGTATTTGGGAATAGATAATACTGATAGTTGTACAAACAATGGGCATGTACTTAATACCACTAACCTGTACACCTAAAAGTGGTTAAGATGGTAATTGTGTATATTTTACCACAAAAATAGTCTTAAAATTTTTTAATATATAGATGAGTTTCATAACCAAATTACTTTGGATTCTCTCTTTCATACCTGCACTTGTATTTGAGCTGACAGAAACTGTTGGCAATATTGGGAAATTGCAGTGTATCCTGTGCCTTCTCTGATGCTTTAGGAACTAACAGTGGGGTAAGGTGGGAGTCTAAGCAAGAATATTACTACCGCTACACTTGCCAAGACCTTTCTGGCCTAATTTTTTTATTGTATAAATAATATTTCAAATCATGTGTATATGGTGACTGGGGATCTACCCATTGACTCCTTTTATTGCTCCCCTTGCAAGCTATAGGCCAGTTTTAAAAAAAAGAGCAGGGCAACAGAGTAAGGCAATGCTTTCAACATAACATGTATCATTTTATTTTTAGGTCTCAAGAAGGAATGACCAAATGATCCCGTTGCAGTTCTCAGAGAATGGTGAACTGACCTGACCCTCTCTTCTTAGCATCTTGTAACATGGTACTCAGATTTAAATCCCATGGTGTGAAAAACCTAGTATAGTAAAGTCTCCCTTCATAATCTTTTAAAAAAATAATCTGTTAAAATCCCATGTCTTAAATCCATAGCTACAGTCTGTGCATTCTTCCACAAAAATTATGTCTCAAATGTAAAATGGAACTGAAGAACTAGTGAAAAATAATTTTTTACCAACTGCAATTACAATGGATAAAATGACCACATGAAGGATTGGGTAGAGTTTTTTTTTTTTTTTGAAGACATAAATGGATTATTTAGCCACACTGTAGATTTCTTCTTTCTGTTACAGTGAGTAATTCACTTGAAAAAGACAATGTGTAATAATCCATTTATTAGTAGTTTAGAAAAAACACTTTTTTCAAGATGCCATGTAGTTGAATCAGGTGCAATCTTATTACCATGCAGTGAAAATGAAAAATCATCCAAAATTATAATCTCCCATAAATGTTCTTTTCTCTGTTTGAAATAATTTTAATGAAGAAAAGTTTTTGAGTACCTGCCATAGAGCATGAATAGCATCTCAAGCCCTGTGTCACTTAAAAATCATTTCACACTAACACCCTTCTATAGCCATGTATGTGGTTATATACCTGTGAATAAATAGTGCCATATGAATAACCATATATTTATTCAAAGGTCACATGGGCCATTTTCAGCAAAGGCTCTCAGGGCCTTTATAATTAATAAGAGAAGGTAATAAGTAGTAAGTTAAGTAGGTTAGCTTTAAGTGGGTGAATGCAAACCTACTAAAATGCTAGAAAATACTAAAGGTTAAGGTTTTGTTTGGAACTCATAACTTGACATTCCAATTTTTATCTTGCTACAATAACAGTATTATAATTTCTGAGGGACAATATTCTCTTCTAAATCCCACTGATAGACATTTACACACATCTTAGAGACCTGAGTTTAAAAAATGTATACTTTTTTCTCTTATTTTGTAAAAAAACTTTTTAGAAGTTCCATAATCTATGACAAAAACCTCTGCCTAAATCAGTCTAAGGTTTAAATGTCAATGAGGGATTTGAATATTGGATTCAGTTCAAATACGAAACTTGTAAATTAGATATAGTCACCATGTTACTAAATTAATTATTCTGCGTTTTCTCAATATTCATTTATATATTTTTTCTAGAAATTACATGTCTTAAATATCCCAGCCAGTAAATGGTTGCACATAATTTACTACATTAGCTCATGTGCTAGCCTTGGGTAAATAATGGCAACAATCTGATAAAAGAAATGCACAGTTATATCAAGAATTAAGTTCTTAAATGATAGCTTCCACATTTTTGTCATTTGGATTTTTTATTGAAAAAACGCTTTTAAAAAGGAGACTCAAGTCATTGTTGGGCAACTGATTTTCTTTCTTTTTTTTTTTTATTTCTCCTATTTAATCTGACTTTCTTTTTTACAAACACCAAAATAATAATAATAATAATAATAATAATAAAAATGAGTTCCACACTGCGAAGGACAAAATGGAAAGGAAGCCTTATTAAAAGGACAAGAAAGATGGACACAGACAGAAAGACACAGGCGATTTTCTTTGTTTTTTAATGTAAGGAAATGTCTGCCCCTCCCATCTTGCAGCTTGGACTGTCCCTGCAGGCAACCATTGCTAACAGTCCTTACCACTTTCCCTGTGCTTAGACTTAAACTCTATAAAGAGATCGATTTGTAGGTTCTCTTTTCAGAGCAGATTGCTATACAGTTGACTGTTTTTCCTGATTATGTGTCT